TAAGAAATAAATGTTTCTATCAGTTAAATGCTTTTCAGGCGGCTCCAAATGCAACGCCAAAAACTTCAGCTTCTTGTTTAGTAAGCTTTATTCATTTAAAATAGCATTCATCTTCTTGCTTTTCTTTATTGTCACCTATTGAAACAAACTTGTTTGTCTTATGATGAAATTTACTATATGTAGTTCGACGATTATAAAGTCTATTATGAAAAGTGCGTATTCGAGTATCACATTCACTTCGTTTATCATTTTCTTTATCATGCAAAAGTATATATTATTTCAAAGTAACATTACGAGAAAGTGAATTTACTTGATGCAATATTTTTAGTACTACTCTAACTTTTAATTGATCATGTTTGGTACATAGTATGAAAGGATTTTTGTATGGGTAGTTGTGATGTGCATTTGATCGAATCATACGTGATCAATCAATTGTCTTGGAAAATTCGATGGATATCATCATTGGTATATTAATTCAAATTATTCGTTTTAGTTGTTCGTTCAAATCCAATGTATGAAATGTATATTGTTGTCTCTTGGTAAGTGATTATTGATTCATTTTTAAAAGTAACTTCTGTAAAACTGGATGTTTATCATTGCCTACAGGTGACCTTGTAACGTAAGTAACGTTCTTGTTTATTAGTTTTAATCGCGAACAACAAAGACCAAGATTCTTCAAATATAATGCAAGACCACTTCCGTGACATACAGTTAAATTCCAGACTTGACTTGCTGATACAAGAATATTATGACTTTTGATTGAGGATATACGGTGTTCCATTCGCTTGTTTCAAATTTGATTGAAGAAAATATATGTTACATAATAATTAAATTCCGTAGATTGTAATGCGATTTTTCTATATTATTAATGCTATTTTTATGGTCACTAAGAAATGCATCAATTCCTTCTTCAAATGTTTCCTTCTTTCCGTTCTCGGTTGTGATTGAACTTCAATTCGTTTAAATACAACAAACAATCATAACTAATTAAACACAACAAAAAATGTAAAAAAAAATGCATTACAACGCTGATAATTAAATAACATGAAAACGTAAAACATTTTACAGCACTTTGTGTTTAAGCATCATATCTGTGATATTTTTCATAGGTATAATATTACACTAAAAAAACCCAATCTCCTAATTGTCTGTGAATTAGAAATCGTGATTGTCATCGTAATACAGCCAATACAACGAAGCGAGAAAATGCTCATTTTTAACACGCGTCCCTGTTTCAGGAAGTTAGTACAATGTAGATGCCCGAACTCGTGCTCATTGATAGTTACTATCGTTTTTTAACAAGTGCTTTGGTGATAGGATTTCTAACTAAATACGTCACATCTTATTAAGTTTTAAATACTTCATGTAAACCATCCTTCGCATATGATTTTGCTTCGAAAAATGAACAGCTTATCTGTAGAGACAAAACTAAGAAAAGAAGGCCGTTCAAAAGTTGTAAAGATACGAAGAATATTAAATAAAGATAAAATATGCATTATGCGGAGAAATAAAACTACGGGTAGTATGGTAGTATAGCTGATATTGAAACGCTAATGAAGAAGTAGTCAGTAACACTTCTTGCGATATTTCTTTAAAAAGGAAAGTATTGTATGTGTATTCAGATACGAAGTAAGGTTTTTTTGTTTAAATGTAGTATTCAAGTTTTTCAGTAAGTACTAAAAGGTTTATCTATGATTTAGTGTGATGTCGCTAGTTCCTTGTTTTCCGAAAACATTTTAACTTCGTATACGATGTATACGAAACAGCTTCTACAAGTGCGTTATTGTTTTCAATTTAATCGAAATATGCTGTTGTCAATAGTTTCAAGGAATATAGATTATATTTTTTTGTATGTATCAGCTACAATGATCGTTTATGTATTGGTCTATTAGAATAACATACTTTAATAATAAATCGAAAGGCTGAAATAAGTCTAACGATTCGAAATTTTAACATTCTGTGAAATATCTGGACAGAATATTCTTATGAACCTTAGCCAGTATTGTGTTATTGCATTCTGATATGGTTAAATATATATTATGCTGCATCACTTCAATGAATAACACTTTCCCTGTTTTCTTTGATAGTATCGTATTACTTTTAATAGTTTTTTTATTGACGATCATCAGCACAATATATAATAATATCTTACTTTATTATTCCGATTTCATTTTGTAATTTTGCTGATTCAGTTAATATTTGCCATCTATTCATATTATTTTTGGTCAATTGTGTCTAAGAAAGCTTATTATATACATACAAACAGATTTTGATTATTTTTTGTGATTAATATTATTTTGTGTACGTTCTTTAAACGTATTATATATGGCATGATCAGCCTTCTGCATTAGTAACAATCGAGATATCGACGCAGCTTAATCGAAACGTTATCGAACAAGTGCACGAGTACGGCAGAAGGAGAACATGGTTGAGCATACTAATTATGATTGTACTCGATTTCAAAGTCAAAAAATGTGGTAAAGTTTATATCTGAAAATTCTATAAGAACAACATTACTGATGAAAGTAGTCATGAAAACAATTCAAATATCACAATATCTACATCATCTAGATCCGGCATTTCTTTTTCTTCGTCATTATTATCAATAAACTATAACAAAAGAATTCATTTAAATTAGATCCACCATTACCATCACAAGATATGTCTTTATATAAAACATCGTACTATTAATGTTTTTCTTCGTGTAAGAAACAAGTACATTACTCTTACGTCAATTGAAATTCACAAATGTATTGTTTGGTTATCGAGAGAATTGAAAAAGGTTTTGATTCAACAAAGTAAAAGGTGGGTATATATTTTTTATTCTTTATATTTAACCATCCTTTGTCTGTATTTCATATTCTTCAAGCTCAAATTCAACTTATATGTTCGATGGAATAGCAGTTTCACATTCCAGTTTAGTATTTCATATAATAGCAGTGTGAATTTGAGTGTCGGTATTCTTTACGGACACACTTATAGTAAAAAATACTATATTCCGATGATATTTATTATCTTGAACCACAAAAGAGTTCATCCAACACAAGATGGTTACTCGGTATTCATGCTCATCTTCCAGAAGCCATCATGAGAGCTGTTCGTCATTAAGCGAAAGAAAATGGATCTCGTCTCCAAGTGGCCACAGAATTCATAAAAGACAGTTATTTAAGAGTCGATTCTTGTCTTGAATTCGAACTAGCAAGAAAAACTTAGCATTATTTTGACAAGCACATTAACAGCAAGACGACTGATGAGGCTATCTTACTTCGTATCCGCCTTCTTAAAGACTCTTCAGTTGTTCGAAACTATGTTTTTTTCTTTTCTTTTATTATCATCTATGCACAAAAAGTAAAGGAAAAAATTTATACAAAATAAATAATTTGTAACCCACAGTAGGACATGAGATAAGAAAAGCCATGCATTATAAATTACTTTATAAATCCTATTTTACAACGCTAATAAGCACGAAAAGAACAATTATTCACAAGGATGGTTCTAACGCGACTTGATCATGTTGCTTCACAAGCATGTGTATAGAATTCTGTACATGTTCCTGTGAAGCAGCTTGAGGAAGAATAATTTTTGAAATGAATAACAGATATTTGTTGTTCCTTTTGTAATATCAATTCTTAAAAACGTTTACTGAAAATTTCCAATCAAACCATTTTGGCAAAAGCTTTCTATGTTGTTCAGTTTTATTACTGTCGTTTTCTATTGAATCAGATCACGATAAAAAAAAAGTTTGAACTATTTGACTTAACACAAACAAGCGGAATCGTTTCTACATAATTTTAACGAATACCATCAAATTGTTTACTATTCAAATAATAAAAAAATTGAGTAGATTCAAACTTTTGAGACAAATAACGTCTAAAATGATTAAGAAAACAAATCATGCTATAATTAAGAACTAAGGCGTGGAACTTTATAATTCATTTATGCTGCATCAAAACTCATATTGTTTTTTATTTAATTTATTTTAAACCGAATTTTTCCATTTATCATTATTAAGAACGATACACGATCTTGTTATCACCTGTGCGCAAAATTTTTCTTTTCATTCTCAACCGAGAGAACAAAAGAAATCGCTCTGGTAGAAAACAGTATTTTAAAACTTTGTGCCTGGGACTATACAGTGCCTCCCACCCATATTCTATGGTAAGACTCTGTTTTTTGTGCTGTTTCTAACGATGCTACGCTTGCGAATGAGACTTTTGGACTGCAGAAAATTAAAAACTAAAACAGTTTTCAATACAATACAGAGAAAGTATTAATTTCTTTCGCAAAGTGTACAGTAGCGTGTATGTCCTAAGCAGTAGATGTTACATACATTTTGCTACTTTTGTATACACTTGTCATTAGAAACTCTATAGGAAACTACAAACAAGCAATTTCCACTATTGCATTTTGTTTGTGTTGATTGTGTCTAATGAAATTTACTACATAGATGGCACTGCCAAACCGTGAACAATTTTTCTCTGAAGATAATTAAACACTGTTTTTTTTCCGAGATTCGTTGTCATTGTGACCGATGTCAAAAAACAAAAGTAATCTCATATGAAATCTGCATTATGATTGTATGTCTTACTTAATAAAAAAGAAATATGCGCAAAATAATTCAAGTTAATTTCAATATCAAAGCAAAATTTAATGTGACAAAAAAATCTATGTTTCGCGTATATCTGAATGTTAACAATTCACTTAATGTATTTTATCTTGTTTCTTTTCAGTTATAAATGTGAACATTCATCAACTGTAATTTTCAATTGGAAACTGAGTACGTCAGGAAAATTTTTAATTTTTGACGAATGCTTTAATATCTAATAAAGATTAAAGAGACTTTTTATTGATTTACATATTAATTGTTGTTTTATTAAGTAATTATGAGAAGTATGCACTTGATTAGAATAAATTTCAATCTAACATATATATATATATATTTCAAAATAGAATAAAAGTAAGTAAAGGAAGATAATAAACACAAAGTTTGTTAAATTTATTTAGTGCTCCTTATTGATAATCGTTGCAGTTCCTTGTTCATCTGAGTTCCATTGTACCTGAGGTGGAATTAATTTTAAGTTGACACGGTCTGCATATTTCTTTGACAATTGAATAAGTGATGCAATTGTTTCATTTGATAATAATGTTGGTTGAAGACCTAAGGAACGAAGATTCGTATTGATGCAATTATAATAATGAACTTCTTTTTCTGTTCGTGGATTTTTTAAATGTGTTATTTTACATTCACGATGGAATTGATTTTCAGACACTTGTTGGACGAGTTTGGCTAAGTCTAAAACAGAAAACATTTCTGTAAATTGATTAAATACACGATATTCGCCAGGTTTAGCTGGTATTTCACATGCAATTTCTATGCATTTCACTGTATCACGAATATCAATGATTGATCTTGTTTGACCACCTTTGCCATAAACGGTCAATGGATGGCCAAGTGCAGCTTGAATACAAAAACGATTGAGAACAGTACCGAATATATGATCATAATCGAAACGATTAGCCAATATCGAAGATAGATCAATTTCAGGAGTACTGTAACCATAAACGACACCTTGATTTAAATCTGTTGCTCGCAAATTCCATGTTCGACATGCAAAATTAATCTGATCACTGTCACAAACTTTTGTCAAATGATAAAATGATCCAGGCTGTTTTGGATATGGTAGTCGATCTGATCGTCCTTTATATTCAATATTGATAAAACCTTCTTCAATATCAATATTTGGTGTACCATATTCACCCATTGTACCTAATTTAACAAGATGAGTATTCGGCGAATGTTCATGTAATGCCCATAAAATATTCATATTTCCTATAGTATTGTTTATATGAGTTCGAACAGCATGTTCATGATTAATCATTGAAAAAGGTGCTGATCGTTGTTGAGCAAAATGAACTAACGCATCAAATTTCGATTCGCAATTAATCACTTTGCATACATCAGAATAATTGGTGACATCCACATTAACAAAATGAATTGTTTTTCCTGTTAAACGATGCCATTCTTTTAGACGTTCATCAATTGAATGAATAGGTACAAGTGAATTTAAATTATGTTCCTTATCCCATTCTCGACGAATAAGATTATCGATTATGGTCACATCATGACCACGTGCAGATAAATGAAGAGCTGACGCCCAACCACAATAACCATCACCACCAGCTATGAGAATTTTCATCTACAAAAAAAATATTATATCAAATACAATGTTGTAATACCTCAGATCAACCATACGTTGCTCAATTTTTTTGTCGGTACTCGATATTTTGGTAAAAGTTTAGCAAAACTATCGTAAATCTGTAAAGCGGACCTATAGACCTAGATTTGTTTTTAGTATTATTCTTGCGCAAAACTCCTGTGCAAATGTTTAAGATATACACTCAAAATCGGTGAATTAATTCTGATAGTTTCCTTGATAGCAACGTCGAATAGATCTGCACGAAAGTTATTACCTAATATGTAAAATGGTTCAAAAAAGTTAATGAAACTCTAAAACGGCAAAGAAAGGGTGTGGGATGTGGGTGTTTGTTAATATTAATTACAGCCACACCCTCATCAAAAATCGATTTTAATTTTATCAATTGATAAAAATTCTTCTCATCGATTTTAATTGAAAATAATCAAAATTACCAACTTGGTTATTTATTATATAACAAAATCCAAATTATAATCGATTACAATTCTTCTAATTGATTTGTGTTAATTATAAATTAGATTTTGTTGCACAAAAATCAGGTTATCAGTTTCGATTATGCCGATACGATTTTGAACTTTAAATCGCTAAAATTTTTCACTGGGTATGTGTTGTACTGTTAGTAAACAAATGCGTGAATTCAAATGTATTCGACAGCTTCATACTATTGACATAAATTTACTAGTAAATACTTATTACATAGAGTCAAATATTCTGATGATTTATCTAAGTAATAAAGGAATGATGTTCATGAGAAAATAATTAAGTGAATGTAAACATTATCATCATTATAGTGTTCCTTTTATATTCTATCACTCGGTCGACTTATTCAACCTTTGTGATTCATCATTCTATCAAGTCAACCATATCGAATATAAGATTGATTTTTAGCTAAAAATAAATAGGTCAATAAAAAAAGAAATACAAGGACATCGTATAAAAGGTAGAATATTTTTTTATAATTAGTTTCGCTCATCTAATAATAATATTCTTATCAAAAACGTTTGCCTTTCTATGACATCGACATGCAATTATAGTATCTTAGATTAATCGCTGCAAGCGTAAATTATGTTAGATCTAACGAAACCTACTACCATATTTGTGGATACTAAGCAGAACAACAGTATGACTGGGAACAAGTTACTAACTATTGGTTGTCTCATATCATTCGTACGATAGCATAACGATTACGTTGTGATGTACAACGACCCTTGTAGCTGTGATTAGTCAGTGTGTATGATGATCTTAAGTGATTGAGTGGAGGAACTTTGAATCAAGCCGATCTTTTTTCGAAAGCTGAAGTTAGTGACATTTCTAGGAAAAATATCGGATCTCGTTTGAAACTAATTCCAAATAGCATCCTACATCACAAAATAGACGAAAAGTGAAGTATTCTTCTCCTTTTTTTGTTTATTCATAAGCATTGAAAGTAATTCATTTCGAGTGATTAAAATCAATAAGAAATAAATGCGTTACGAGAAATTAATTACTTTCTATGCTCACGAAAACAATTTCATCGACAACGAAACTAATTGATTTCTTGTAGTGTGCACTTATTTTTTATTGACTTTGCTTACTCGAAAATCAAATAATATCATTCAGCTGTTTTCGAAGTTTTGAATCTATTTGTTATTATTATTGTTTATTCTTGAATTATTCAGTTCAATAGATTAAGACGAATTCTTTTTGTTTCTTTTTTTAAACACTCATCCGGAAAAGCCTTGTCGTTATTTGATTCATCATTTCAGATTAACCTAAGTTGATCATGCAACAAAAGTATGTGCAATATATTCTTCTAGAGAATCTTTTCTTGCAGACAAGAAAACAACTTAATCCTCAAACAAGTAGTAATTCTATTCGTATTGAATATTATATAAAATATTTTAAAAGATTCGGTCATCATGTCATTGTTTACAATTCGAAAAGTATCCAACAGTAGATCGAAAATGAACTAGTATTTCATGATATTTTGTTAAGCCTGATATTAGCCAATGTTTGCCATGTTTTCAATTGTACAAAGATATTCTTTTTGAAGAATATGATATGGTACATATTTTTGGTCCAAATTTTTTTCTAGGCACTATTATTCTTTTTTTATTTTTCAAATTATTAGGTAATCATATGTCTTATTATAGAAATATAATTGTTTTTTTTGACTAAATATTTCAAATATCGTTTGATAAGCAAATTAGGGTTGTAGTATGGTAGTTATTGTCATTATTATCCAACAATATTGTTGAACTTACTCATTTTACATCCTGAAAACTTTATTGATCTCAAAGTTAGTTACAATAATTTTGATCAAGGAAACGTTCTATCAACAAGTATTGACACTGATTTATTTCAATATTCTGAATATTTCATTAAAGATAAATTGATATATGTTGGATGAATAGCATCAGAAAAAAAAATTATTTCGATTAATTAATTTATTTAAATTAGTACAAGATAAATACAGATTGGATATTGTTGGTTTTGATCAAACTGAAAATTCATTAAAAGACTGTCAAAAACCAAACAAATAAAAAATATTCAATTTATTGGTTAAAATTGATTACAAGTATTGTTATAAGTATTATCAAAGTACACTGGTATTTATATGTACAAGTTTAAATGAATCGTATGGTTTTACATTACTTGAGTCAATGTTGTTTGGAACATCTATTATCAATCTAAAATGTCTCATATTCGACAAGTTATATTAACCGTATTTTCGTCATTTATAAATATGATCTAGCTAATGATAACGAATTTATTAATAGATTCAAATATCTTCAACAAAATAATAAATACTTGCAACGATTATGTAGTGCACACGCTTGTCAATATTCATGAAAAAACAACAGAAGATCTCGTTTCAATTCATTTAAGCTTCGTGATTAATTTGGAGAAAAAATATTTTAATAACATTCATAACTTCTGTATTTTGTTGTTCTTCAACATTATTTTCTTTTCGCATTAAATTGATTAATAAATTACATTCTTGATTTAAAAGACTTTGAAAAAATTATCTAACTATAATTTATAACGTTGATTGAATGTTTGTGGAGTGTCGGTTGTTAGTATAGATTTTCTCTTCTTTCATATCGGTACACTTATATTCTTAATATTGATTTTGACTTGAAGGTATACTTTCATTTAACATAAATTATAAAATTTGACTAATTGAAAACTATTCCATCAAATTTTATGAGGTTGAAGTTGTAATCAATTTCAAAGTTTAAACTTTAATATAAATCAAATAATTGATAATAACCTTCGAAAAAGACATATTTGCTCATCTGATTATCGGGGTTTTTTCAGAAAAATTAGGTGGACTGATCTATAGTTGAAAAGATTATTATTTTACTTAGATATTTTCTACTGAAATGAAGTTTTATTTTTCTAGAGTGAAAATTAATGCATTAGTACATACATGACAAATGAGATAGATAAATAAACACAACCAGAAATAACTAACTCGACTGACATTTGGATTGACATGGTGCCATTTCTATATAAGAGAGACACCGACAAATATATAATCTATGATGCAAAAGTCTTGGCACACAATATTCACTAATTTCTTGAATACGTAGGGCCGATGTTGAAAGTCAAACACAGTCAGTTAGAATGAAAATGTTGAGCTCTCTCACAATATATGTGTAGAATTCTTTTATTCGATGTAACTTAGGTGAATTATGAGAAATTTTTTTTAACAAGTACAAAAAGATTCCTATACATTCCAAAATAGGAAGCTTCGTGCATTTCTTCGTTCGTACAACTTATATTTTAAATACCCAAACGTTCCACATTTTGTGCGAAAGAGCTTCTTTTCATGTAAGGTGGCGCTTGTTAAAAATTTGAATTTTTGAAAAACTGATTTCTTAAATACAGAGTAGTTTTAGAATAAAATAAAATATGATGCAGATATCATGTTATATCCATCGAAAAAATTCTTATCGTTGACCCAGGTTATGTCGAATGAAAATTCTGCACTTATATTCTGAAAGAAGGGTATGAGTTTGGGTGTATATGGGACGTGAATATGGTTGAAAAGAGCTAGATCTACACTCACATCCTAGAGAGTAAACCGTAGTGATCTTCTTCGTCAACAAACCAACTCCATACATTTTCTGATTCCTATGATAAGACGATTACGCGGATAGCTGAGTATTTATTTGCCAACAACACAAATTTTTATTTTTTTATTCTGTTCATCATTTGAATGACTGAATTATTATATAAATAGTAGAAATTGTCGTTGACAACTCGACAAATTATTATATTTCATCTTTTCAATGACTAAAGTTTTACCGAGGTGGTAAAGATTTTTTCGCCAATACGATGTTTTTCAACATATGAAAAGGTAAATAATGATTGACATAACTGAGATTCTATTTCGTAACGATGCAAATATTAGTTTTTCATTATTTCAATATTTGATATGTAACCGAACCTGTATTGACTTTTCGCAAATAATACACATGTTTTTTTACGTTTTGAAAATAAATTAAGTTTTATTCGAATGCGAGAGCTTTTTTTTCGACAAAAACAAATTTTTTGTATTACAAGATTGTAGTGACTAGATATACAAAGAAGATATTAGAGATTTTCTTTTTTCAGCGACACAATTTTGTTTATGATACCTTTAACAAAAAAATATTATTCAAGAACTAGAGCTTTTATTACACAAGAAAGGATTAATGTGATAATTCTAATTCAAACAATTCTGTCATAAGTTTTTTCTACAGTTTGTAGCATCAACATATCAATAAATCACTTGCGGCGTTCTAAACCAGGCATCTCGAAAGAATTGTCTTGCAACTTGTATGCCAAAACTATCTGATGAGAATTGTTTGAATACATTTTTTTAAAGCCACAATTGGAATAGATATCTGAGTAGTTGTATGAAGAATCTTTGACTTCTCTTAACAGTTTGGGTTTCTATGAACATTTTCAAGACAAGAAAAGACCTGTTTGAATTGGTCTTTAGGAAAAAAGTATTTTTTCTCTACTTTTTTTTGCTTTTTATTGATATTTTGGATAGACATCAACAGCCAAACAGTCACCTACGTCTCTAAAACAAATTGAAGTCTACTAAGTTCTCGTTTTCTTCAAACATACTTGGTTTATATAATGCGCTTGAGATCTTTTATAGTGGAAAATATACCAAAAATAATTCCGAGACTCAACGCCGTCTTTCGTCTGATGACAGCGAATATTAAGCGTGATATACAGATGTTTTCTTCACCTCTTTTTCTATATATAATGCCTTGGACATCGATTATTTTGACTTAATCAAAGAAGAAAGTAAACAGAATCTTTCTGAGTTGATGTTTGACGGCTTGGTTCGATTCAATTTTAATTTAGTCGAGTTGTGATTTTTTTGACTTTTTCGGTCTTTGCTGCGCGATTACCTCTCCTCTCACAACCATTCACCCCTACACCCTGCTTAGTATCAGCTTCATTGACGATTGAAAGTCATCAGAAAATCTCTTACTGTATGATCGCAATAGTAGAAAGAAACAATTCTTTTTCTTTCTTCCTACTCATTAAATATTGCAGGGAGTCGACCTGTGGTGCTTCTGCGATCGGTAGTAAAACACATGTCATGTTTCTCTATACAGAGAAGTCTTTCAATATTGTGCATTGCTGAATATTACTTTTCGCAGACAAACATCACGTCGACTTTGTTGACAATGTAAGGAAGTATAAAAAGTTTGATACTCATGTTTATTCTCTCATTTCATTAAATTTCGTCCAAAAAGTTTCAGAAGGTAGGTTCGCGAAAAGAGTCATGTCTTTTCACATAAAATCCATTCCTGAATTCTAGGTCTTACGTCTAATATCATCTTCTACCGAATCCTTTTTTTTTTTGTTAATGATGTCTTGCTCCTCGTGCAGTGTGCCCCAAGCGAACTAATCGAAAATTCTTCAGCCTGCTGAATGAATACATTTTGAATATTATAGTAAAATTGGTGGTCGACTAACGTTCTTGTAACGATTCCTTAATATGAGAGAGAAGTATCATAGATAGGAGTTTGCGGGACCCATTCCAGTCTTGATATTCACTGTTAAACGTGTTTTGTCTGTATTGTTCATGAATGTATAAGTGACGGTATGCAGAATATCCACACCTACACTAATCCACCCACAACCTTTTGGAAATGTCACTATGATTGATGTATTTAGTGCTCTCTTTAACCAGGGGAACAAATCAAAGGTATTTATCATGTTAAAATCCTAGATATTGCGCTGAAAGATTCTTTTATGTGGTGACTACTCAACAAGATCTCTTTGGAACCGAAATTTCAGTCTTTCATCATCTACCAGTCACAAGATATGTTGAATACTAATTGCAAAGAAGATTTTTTCAAAAGTTTCTAACGATTATCATTGCTTACTAGAGGCTCACATCTGTTTGAAACTATTTCTTCTCTAGGACTCTTTGACTATATTATCTATCTACAGTAAAACTTTCAAGCTAATGGTATTGATTCTGTTTGAGATATAAATCTTTTGAACATTATATAAAAGGTTTTCAGAATGATCCTTGCGGTATTACAATGTAAAATACTTTGGATTAGTTCCAGATGTAAACAAGAGCTCTATAATATGGATCATATTATACTTGAGGATCAGGCGGACCATCAGCTTTTGTCTATCAGTCAGGATTAGTGACGCTGGATAGCTGTTTTTCGAGTATCTATTAATTGATCGAGGGCAGGCCAGAAGCGGGAAGGCAGTGATTGTCTTTTCTTGCTATAAATTTCAACACTTGTTTCAAATTATGTTTTAGAAAAGTACTGATTTTTTTGTTGGGCTACTGGGAACATGCAAAATGTCTCCACAAGAAAACGATACTTTTTCGATCTGCTTGTATGGATTTTTCCAAACATTTGTCCGTGTATAATGTATGTAAGGCAAAACAAATCGAGAAACCTTGATTGATCTGTATAGGTCATGAGTCATGACTTGCATGGAATGACTTTTAGATTAGCTCTTAAGTTTATTCATTATGAAAAGGACACTATTTTCTTTTGCCAATATTTATCAACTACCCTAGATAATACGGAACAACGAAATGCGTAATCGTCTAATCGTTCCTTTTATAAGTACAGTCTCTCTTAGAGAGAAAATACCAATCATGAGAAAAGAAGGACCACGATTATTTATACATGTGCAAGTGTATATAAAAGAAAGCACACACACCAAGAAAATAGATGAATTTGAATGTAGAGAAGGAAATAATAATATAGTGTACAATAAGTGATTAGTTAATGAAGAGTATCGAAGATAGAACACCCAAAGATGTTGATTGATGGAGAGCATGTACCATTTTTAACATAGATATAGCTTGACGAGCTCTATCTGTGATAAATTTTTGAAACCGTTTCATGTTCGGCTGAATGAAAGCTAGTTAATGGAAATTTTTGAGTTTGTATATTTCGTAGTAGAATCAACTGGTGGTTATATCAAAAGGAATTGGCATTCGAAGTACTATAGGTCAAAATGCAGAAGTCGTTTTTTTTGTCAAATGCGAAAAAACTAAGTACTAAGTTACTATTGAAAATATGCATTCGTGTTTCGAGTACTGTGCTTCAGAAACTTATAGAATGAAATTGAAAGTGTTAGAAAATACACGACTCACTGCCCTCTACAACATATTTGATAGAAATTAGCCAAATCGGAGATGGTCAACTGCCAACGTTGTACTACAAACATTCAATGGTCTTAAGGATTTGTTTAAAAAAAAAGAAACTTTGATTAGTAGACTCTTTCTGTTTCAGAATCAAAATAACATCATTAATATACAAAATGAGTTCGTTATCGTCGATAAATCATTGTGTCAAATGCCGAGCAAATGCATCATTCGTTTGCTGTGGATGCCATCAGAAATTTTGCCAGCGTCATAGTGATGAGCATCAACATATGCTTGAAAAACACTTCCATTCGTTGGCTGCCCATCATGACGACATCTCAAGAAAACTTGACGAACAATTGTTAAACTTACAATTTGATGCTTGTTTCTCTGATATTGATTCATGGGAGCAAGAGGAAATAGAACATATTCAGCGAACAGCAACCCTTATGCGAGAAGAAGTTATTGATGTCGTCGGAGTACGCCTGCAGAGGCAAAAGGAAGAATTAACTATGCTAACAACTCAAATCAATGAGGCACGTCAAAAAATGAAAGCTTTTGATGAAATTGATTTGAAACGATGGGAAGATATCTTAAACCATCTTAAGAAGTTGGCAGCTTTTACAGTTACTCTCAAAAACATAAATAATGGGCTCGAATTATTAGTTACTGGAGAAGACGTGGAAAATGACTCACCTTTAGAAAATATCGATCGACACCGTAATGGCCTTATACCAATCACTTCTCCACAACTTCAAAATACTTATCATAATCAGAATAATTCTAAAATGATGTCAACGATATTAAACAACTTTAGTTCTACAAATAACGTAGAATCAAATGAAATTCGAAGTTCGATTGCGTCGGCGAACACTGAATCTATTGGTCGGACTGGAGATGCTGGACGTCACAACAATGAAAGACCAACAACTACATTGGTTCGAAATAGAGCCGCTGAAATTCCATTTGAACATAGACGCTTCTATCCTCTTCGATGGCGCATGGACTCTTGAAAGTTATTAATGAGACGAACAATAAACTAGCTATGAGTTAGCAGCTTCCCTTGTCTGAGAAGCCAGGGTTTAGAAACGGTGATTAAATTATTTTGTCTAATTGTATGTGCGTGTGTATCTATCTAAAACACATTTTTGAAAAGAACTATCTGTCTTATATGAAAGGTATCACGTACGTGCGCTGGTGGGGATATGAAAGAGGCTGGAAGACAGAATATCAAAATGGATATAGGTCAGAATGTTGCCGTGGAAGCACGACTCAGCGTAGGTTTGTTCTTCATTCATACCTACATTCAGATCAACACTCACCACCCACTAGTTAATCTTCTGCCCATTCCTATACCGACATCCAAATTCATACTTTATACTTACCTGTCTGTTCTGTCATATTCTCACCTCTTATAGTGTTTAATCGCTGAAAAAATACAAATTAATTGAAATTCATATTCAACGTAAGAAATCGAGTCGAATGACGAATATTAAAACTCTGTCTGATGTTTTGCAGGGTGTGGGTGTGGGTGTGAGTCTTCTTTGAACCTGTACCAACATCCACACCCACACCCTACATAAACCACGTTTCAGAGAATATCGAAATCTACACTAACAACTGCAATACCATTCAAAGCCAACCATAAACTGAAAATGTAATTTGCTGGAATTTTCGGTTATAACTGATACTGCACTATTAAATTGGTGGATGTGAGTGCAAATAACCATTCTAGTCTACATCTACATTCTACAGTCAAAGCCACACTCCCACCTTTGCTTTTGCTGTTTACCTATTGGACTTTTTAGATTTTCTCAAAAATTTTCTTCTTGTGTTTTTGAACTTCTCAATTCTAAATATCGAATACTGACGGAAACAGTGAAAAGAGTGCATTAATCGCCTCCTGTAAACTCAACACAACGTGTGAAGCATGTGTCGGTACACATTTAATACTGTCACAGTCCTTAAGAACTATATTAGAATTGTTTTTTTTTGATCTGGTAACAGACTGTGACCAACAGATCGACACAGTATCATTTTCATTCCTTTACGAACTGCGATAGATATGATTAGATCTTATTAGCAGTATCGAAGTATCTTTATGATGTGTTACATTTTAAATTCATAGGAATTTCAGTGAAAAATTTTGTTTTAGATTCTTCAAAGTTTCTCAAAATGAACTCATTTTATTCGTGCACGTTTCGATATAATATTTTTGAGTTTTTGGAATTTTAGCCTATTTCGTCTTTCGATTATTTGAAATGTTAACATTTTGAATGAACGTGAAAATTCCAAACTAGAAAGGTTCATATTCAATTAGTCTAGGACCGAGTGAATACGATATGCGATGAACGTTATTTGTCTACGTAGAATAGTACAAAAAAGATAGCAGAGGAAATCGTTTTGTTTTTAAAACCTAGCTGGTTCACTGATGACAGTACGAAGTTGAGTAGTTTTGAGGCGTCTTAATCTTTTCTTACGAGCAGTAACCCAACTAAAGATCCATGTTTTAGCAAGTTGTGTTTTTCGAAACTCTTCTAAATACTTTGTTGATGGCAAAACAAACAGAACAAAGCCAAGTAACTGTGGTAAGTATGATAGAAAGTAAGTGACAATTAGTGCATGACGTTGCCATGCTGCAGAGAGTGCATTACAAGCCAAACTGAATGTGAGAGCACTATGTGGTATGACACTCAATATAATTATTGCCGGAGTAACATACAATTCTTTGTGAATTACGAATTGTTCCTTGATATGTTGTACAATCGTTGTTCGATCCTTAGTTACACGTGAACGACTATATGCAGCAAGTACAATCAATACAGTAATTGAGACAATTTGAATACAAAATGGAATGACATAGTGGATAAATATGGCAACACGATTGTATGTTGAAAATCGAGCGAAATTACCGACACAGAATGGTTTCCTATTTGGAATATTTGCAACAGTATAAACTATAAGTTCATGAAAATGCATAGTTCCAATAATGACCAATGAAATTACACTTAAAATAATAGCTATACGCGGTTTGTTTAATAACTTACTGAAAGGAAACAAAGCAAAACAGACACGTTCAATCGTGATCCAGCTAGTAAGCCAATATGAGTAACGAGTAAAAACTGAAAGTATATAGGAAATTATTTTGCATGAAATACTGTTTGATGAACCAATAGGTATGTAAATAATTTTCAAAAAAAGTGAGATTAGTGAACATTGATTGATTAATGATGAAATGAGAAGATAATTGCATACACCAAATGTGCGCAGTTTCGAACATTTGAAAGTGATAAAACTGGCATAGTTGGTTATCGTACCAATGATGAACATCAGTGTGGTAAGAATCAAATAAAATAGTTGTACAATAAAATGACTCTCGGCAATAAGTGAATCAAACGAAAAACTCAATGCTTCGGAGCTGAACTGACAGAAACGGCCTGAATGACATGGTGAACATAGACAAATGAAATCATTTGTTTCCAATAGATCCCCTTTCAGACATTGACCATTAGCTAGACAATTAAAGCATCGATCAAGATAGTGATCATAAATAAAACATTCAGCACGATAATGTCTTGTATCACAGATGCATAGGTATGAATCATCCACGAAACATAATAAATTGGTATGATTTTGACAGAGAAAATGATATTTGAATACAGCATTTTCTACAAATAAACAGATGAAAAAACAAGGGTGTGGATGTTAACTGTTCTCGTTTTCCGCATAACAATAGCTTCATGAGAAAACACTATTTTAATTCAAAACAACAATAGCGGAAACAATACTTTTCACTATGTGAGCTGCAGAGCTAGTCAAGTCTTTATATTTTCAATTAGAAGCATCTTTATTCGAACTCAAAGGCTATGGTAAAACATACAACGTTCTCAATACGGACGTATCGACGCTGATAACAATTGAGAATAGTTCATGGAATGCTCTTTTAGGAGATATCTCACGGGAATTGAATATGAAGAGAAGAAAAATGTGGAGAAAATGAGAGTGAGCTGATGCTATGACAGGGTAAAAGCAAGCTAGAGTAGCTTGTTCATATCCTGTTGAGCTCTACAGAGAGGAATGTTCATTTAGTGGAGATGTGCTTATATAGAGGCTATAGCATACCTTCGCTCGTTTCTAACAATTTACGAACATGTATGCATCGATTTCTCTCACTTATTTGTGTCACACCATCAATTGATCTGACATGCATATGAAGTGAGATCAAATATATTTCCGTCTGAATATTCGAGTACAACTTTGCTAAGACGATGGCAGGTGCTATTGTTTTAGTATACCGATATTCTAAAACATGAGGAATATTGCAGTACGGATGTTGATGAACAAGAATTAACTTGAGTGAAGAGAAATTTATGTCAAAATATTGTATGACAACTGCGTCATGTTTGATAGTTTCGTTGATTTTGAGACTTATTGCCTTTGTTTTCATGTCACACTGTTTTCCATGATAATGATCAGTACATAAACATGAGAATTCATTTGGTTTCAATGTTGGAAAACATGTACCATTATTTTGACATGGATTTGAAATGCAACTATCGTGGACTAATTCACATCGATGACCAAAATGGGTTGCTGGACAAATGCAGTATGGCAATATGTTTCCACTTATCAAACTTCGATAGTTAGGTTTACACAATGCATTTCCTGAACAATGATTATTCTTGCACATATGATCGATAATTGAACAATCAGTACCCCTAAAATTATTCTTACAAACACAGATATATGCAGACTTCTGATTGAGTAGCTGATGACATTGTTGATATTGATTACAAGGATTTTTCAAACAAGGATTTTTACCATCGATCTCTGTCGATTTAATCAATCGAAGCACTTTAGCAAGACGAAAGACGGGAAGATAATCAAAATAGATAGGATATTGCCAGATTGCGATAAATACAGGTGTTTTAAAAACATTTAATTCATAAGCTTCGATGCGAATCGAATAATGATGTTCGTGAATGATATTGGAACGATTGAAATGTCGCTTTCGTTTCTCTTCTAAGAGTTTGAATGATCGAGAATAAAGAAAGTAACCAATCTTTTTCCTATAACTGCTAATTTCAACTACGGGTTGCAAGTGAAATTCATCAGTAGTTAGTACTTGATTCTTATACAGGAATAGGACAAGTAACTTGATTACTATTTCAGAACCTATCGATTCTGTGTAGATCGACGGCGATAAATTGAGATGCAAGTATACAGTCACTCGATCACTATAATATTGACATCGATCACCATAATATTGCGGTGGACAAAAGCAAACTATGGAACCATTGTATATTTGTATTCCGATACCACGATTGCACCAGTACGAAATCAAACTGGATGTTACCTCAGAAGATGGAGTACTCGTTGTTATACTGTCGTTTGTTGAAATATAGATATCGTTGAATTTAGTATTATTAACATCGAGAGGAAACTGTGGCAAATGAGGGTTTTGGTCCGCATTTCTTACATATATCTCCTTCTGCTTCCGATAAAGTGTGTTGGAAGGTTTAGCATCTGAAAGATTTCGACGATCACACATATACTCATCTTCACCAAATAAACAATCGTTTTTGCCATCGCATCTTGCTTGTATCTTATGCGTATGGTTGATGCATCGATAATCTTTTACTTTCGGACGATCGTTGTTATATCCATATATTGTACATGCAATTGATGCTTCATGTGTGTCTGGACATTCCGCAGAACAGGCAGATGATTGTGCAATCCATGTTTTACTTGATGCACACAAGAAATCACGTCCGAGCATTCCGGGTCGATCACAATGTTCTTGAAAATTTCGTTCATCAACACCTCCTAAACAATCTAGATAACCGTCTCCAATCTGTTCTAAACTGATACAAAGTCGATCATGTGACATTGTATAGAGATCATCGGACATATTCACTCGAAGACATGGATATTCTCTACTCAAATTACATATTGTCGAAAATGCTTGAATTCCATATAAATGTCTAAATTTATCTTGTAGTACAGAGAAGTTTTTGAAAACTTTTGTATTATGATCAGATAAATTAGTATCAAAAGCAAATATATTTTCTTCATCTGATGCATCAATACAATCCCACTCACCATCGAGTACCCATTTTTTGTCGATACATTGTCCTGTACGACATTGCCATTGTTCTTCGAGACATATCCACCATGTTTGACATGTAGTTACATTTTCATCATCTTTTGAGTATAAATCCCAGAATGTATCACAATAAGCACGAAACGGTATTCGTGCTGAACTTAGCTGCAAAGTAAAATTATTATTATTATTATTATTATTGTTATTTGTATTAGAATTCCATGACATATTAATATATTGACGAATGAATTCACAGCCATCTTTTGATTGACTATTACAATCGACTTTTGATAGCATCATGTCTGTTCCCATCCATGATTCATCATAGTTATTGTTACAATTCGAATCGAAATCACCGAGATTAATGACATATAAACAACTAGGCTCTTCGGATGAACATCGAAAACGATGACGTTTTACATTTTGACAAATGTTCGAAATATTAATTTCACTTTGGTTTTCATCCATTTTATCTTGACAATTGACGATTCCGTCACCGATACGATAAGCGGAAATGCATTCCATCGAATATTTGCATACATCAATGAAATTATACGAATGATTATTAAAAGTTATCGAATCATTGTAACAATACTTATCATAACCATTCATAGGAATAATAGAGCTGATCGAACTATTTGAACATAAAAATACTTCGAAATCTCGGAGATCGAACCCATATAAATATGGTAGTATTGTTGTATATTGATAGATCATATATCCTCGACATTTAATTGTTGCATTAAACACCATTAAATCTGAAAGTTTCTGTTTCCAATTACGTGTTGCATTGTAAAAATGACGAATATATGGAGCAATAATGCTACCGTTTGGATATTGAATATTTACTGGCGGACAGGCCTTGTTAAGTGCATCGATACAACTAGTACCATTGCATGGACATTTCGTCTCTGCTCCTTGTGAGAGGGCACATTTCACTAGATAAATACATTCTTGGACCATAGTACGATTTTTAGTATTTGATTCTTCATATCTACTACTTGGATAACACTTTCCATTGGGTAATGTCCATCTTTTATATCTGCCGTACAGTTCACATATGTAGTATTCACTACGTCTACTCGTACAATCGGTACCTACTAGCTTTGTATTTTGAAAATCGAATCGCTGTTTTATACATTGACCATCACCACATGACCATCGATTAGGAAGACAAAGTCGATCATCACACTGAAGATTTGCCGCTTGATACGTACAATTTTTATCATCAAATAATTGCTTTTCATCTGTGAAATCCATACAATCATATTCACCATCGAGAAAAGATTCATCAGGAATACACATACCATTCATACATCGATACTCATCATCGTCACATTCATTAAATTCGAGTTTGTCACAATTTTCTTCATCATAACCTGACATGCATTGTTGTTTTCCATCACAAATATCTCGCCAATCGAGACATAAAAGGCCATAATCACATATCAACGTTGTATAACACAAAATATCACTATACATTTGTATTCTCCATGGATAAGTTGATTTCATTTCCAATTCCCATTGAATTGTTTCATCAAATGTTGTACCGACTGGTAAAAAATATTCACAATGTTTTCCGAATGATTGCGAATGACTGCATTCACATAAATATTTACTATCATCGTTGTCAAATTTAATCGATTGTTTTATGTAACGTGAATATTCTTCGACCATTTCGATGCTCGATTTCCATTTATGCAAAATAGTGCTAACATTAATATTGTTTAATCTCAGCGAGGTAAAAGAATGGCGTATACCATTGTGATAGCATTGCCATGATATATTGTCTCTTATGAGAGAGATGGGCTCAAATGGCCGACGACAGTAGAGTAGATTCATAGAGTACACACAATCATAGAACTCAACCGAGAAACTATCGTGAGTATTGTACACATATACAGTATTTTCGATTCTATGCAAAATAAAAAAGCCGATAATGATTTTCGTAAATATCATATCTTTCAAGTTAAGCTATTCTGTTCGATTAATGTGCAGATATGTTTGCTAGTTATGTATGCCAGTCAACTCGTATAGTTCCTGTTTTTTTTCCAGTATTTAACAAGTAGAAATATATGATACGACGTAATAAATATCAATGATTTTCTGCTGGCACATACACACACATTCATCAACTAAATGATCCATGATATTCATCGAGACAGTTTTCTTTATTTGAACTACATGTAAAAGGGTTCATCTTGCATTGACATGAGCAAAATGTCACTTATTTTATATTTGAAAAAACAACAATGTCATCAATTTTTTTCTCGAGACAAAGAACCTTTATCCAATATCATTTTTGTCGATAGGTAACAAGGAAATAATTCACTTATTAGAACAGTGTAGCAGACATTTCAGTCTGATGTAAGGGTATGGGTGTGTGGGAGTACTTCTCATCCTTACGCATACTCACACCCATATCCACACCCTTGAGTTTCAACATTGGTTTCTCTATAAATGAGATCTTTGTTTTTTGGCAAATAGAATTTCTTAGACATTATATAATAGTTTCTATTTGCACATACTTTTTCATTTGTTATTTAGTCTGAAAGAAAGCCGACTGCTTCTATTCTATGCTTAAATTGAACTTTATTGTAATGTTAAGTTTTCTACAGCGTCTAATAAAACTAATCTTTTAATTTCAAAGTATTTTACTGATATATGTGCAATGAATAATTCAATTATAGAAAAAAAGAAATGTATGATCAAACGGAACATGCACACAAACAGAAGGAAAACAGATACACATACATATGCATATCGTATCTAACTACTCTCACACTCAGAATTGAATATTTAGGACGATAAAAGAATGAGAGAAAGTCGAACGTAATGAGGGAAAAAGCAAAGTGTGAGAAATGGAGAGAAAAAAAATGTATGAGAATATGATATGTCATTGATGGTGAACATGACTATACCCAACCCGACAAATGTTTTCAAAAACACGTTTAAACGCGCATAAAGTGCAAGAATTATTCACTTTTTATATTTTTTAGACACTTTTTCATACGTTTAAATGCATTTTGTCTGTTTGGGTATCAGAAGTGTTCCATCTATATCATTATATTTATATTAAACTAAAATATTGATAAATTAAGTCTAAATCAATTTATCGCTTGTACACTTTCATCCAATCGGAGACTTAACATGTCGATAAGATTCTAATCAAATCATCAAATAAGTATATAAATTCTTTTAATATCTATCAACGTGAATAACCTGCGAGATAAGAATCGTTGGTATATACATAGTTAGGATAAAATTAGAAATAAACGTTTCTCTTCTCTAATTCAAACATTGGTAGAAAGCCTATATTTCCACTTAAAGTTTGTTTTTTTTCCTAGATATAGTCAAACAATCAATAGTACTATACGCTATTATCAATAACCACAATAATAACATGTAAAACTCCTTACAATCTAATTGAAATTTCAATATAACTTTATCGTTTTTCTAGATGCATTAGATATTAATATTAATTATACTGTTTTGAGTGTGAGTTTTGGTATTAGTAGTAGGTCTGTCATTCACTGATACCCACATCCACAGTTAATATTGAAAATTACTAATTATTTAAATATTTATAGTTAATCTAAATTTACAATAAAATAAGTATTTAATATAAAGATGAATAAAAATAAGTTTATGACTTATTATTCAAATCTGAGCTTTTTTTGTATTCCTTTTTCTTCTCTCATCACTTTCTGACGCATATAAATGGTAAATGGATGATGATGCAAGGAAGAAGAAAAGGCGAAAAAATTGAACAAGAACAAGTTTCATTTATTATATTTTCTATATTGAAAAGAAAAAATTTTGTAACATCTTTTAGAAAAAAGCTACCACTCGTGAAATAACTGAATATACATTACCAACAGATTCTGGCGGGAAAATAAGTTAATCATTATAAACAAAAAAAAACTTTCAATATCCTAGAAAATCATTTACTATGGTTATACCACCACCAAATGTTACTGGTTATCTTCATTTAGGTCATGCTATTATATGTACAATTGAAGATACACTTGCACGATGGCATCGTATGTGTGGTGATACTCTTCTTTGGGTTCCTGATTGTAACCATGCTGGTATAGCAACACAAGTTGTTGTTGCTGAAAAATATTAAGACATAATTTAGGACGAGAAAAATTTTTAGAAGTTTGGACATGGAAAAATGAAAAAGGGTTGAGTTTCTTTTTGATTTATACTATAGAAGACTATATGTTAAGAGTAAAAGAACATAATGTTAGTAACATAATGAAGTACGAATATATAAACGAAAAAAAAACTTCGAGATAGGAAACTTTGATAGTTTCGTCAAATCATAATATAAGTTCAAGTAGTTTTATTTGAACTCTTTGTAGTAGCTGTAAGTAAAAGTGAAAGTATAATTTTGACTGAAAATTTCCAAAAGTTTAAAATATACTTGAAACGAAAGCTTCTCGAATGTATGAATGGTAATAGACCTTTTTTTTCGGTAAATAAGTGATCATACGTATGCATAAATAAAAACATCAGGTTCATCATGTAATTGGTCACGTAAAGTATTTACTGTGGATAAAAATATGTCGTATGCTGTCGACGAAGCATTTATTCAAATACATAAAAAAAATAATTTATCGTTCAACACGAATAGGGTGTGGGTGTGGATGGAGATGCGGATGTGTCTTCTCTTTATTTACACCCACACTCCACATTCCACACCCACACCCACATCCACCCACACCCTCCTAAGGCTCATGCTAATTGAATACAATTTTTTTTGATTGATAGCTTATATGCTGCTGTTCAAAAATATGTATTCAATATTTCTCCATAAGTGAATACGGCAAAAATAGAAAAGAAATAAAAAAGGGCATCGAAACTTATGAAACATCTTTTACTACAAGTAACATATTTTTATTACTACGAAAGCAAAAACATAAATGGAATTCTAACAATAAATCTTCTATATAGTCTTTACTTTTAATTGGCATTCATTGAAACATTAAGGAATAATTCGTATGATTTACATCTTTAACCTGCAAATATACTGCGAAAAACAAACCTTCTGAAAAAAAGTTTTCTTTCTGACAGTCTATTGGTATTGATTCATTTCGACCTTTTATTTGACCATGCATTCAAATCATACATTCAAATTTTTTTCATTTTTCTTTCACATTTACAAACGTACATACTTTTCTTATCGTTAACATATTAAATACATGGCACAGGCATTAGCAAATGGTCAAACAACTTGTTGTATATGCGACAAAGAAACAGTCGCGTATAAATGTGAAGGTTGTTCACGAGTTTTTTTTTTACAATCACTTAATTGAACATCGACAAACAATTAGTAAGCAACTCGATAAAATAGAAAATGATCGTGGTGAGTTTTATCAAACACTTGTTGAACGAAAAGAAGTTTCAAAAAAATTTCATTGATGGAGCAAGCTTGATAAATGGGAAGAAGATTCAATTCTAAAAATTAAAAAAAACGCAGAAGACTGTAGATACGTATTAATTGGGCATAAAAATAAATATTTTATTAAAATAGAAAAAGAATTATCTTAATTAACTGAACGATTAAAACAAATTCGTCAAGACAATGACCTTAACCCTTTGAGCCCCGGCGACGCATACATGCGTCCGAATGCAGTTATTTGACAAAGATGCTCCTCGTATATTTTTTAATTGTTTGGAACATTTTTTTATCGTTTATTAGGTATGAGTGTGAGTGTGGGTTACTGGACAAAAGAATCACACCCACACCCGGATGGCATATAAAATAAGTAAAAACAGGTACAGTAGAATAGAGCAGCAAGTTACTTGTATTGCGTATTCAATCAATAAAACAACGTAAAACAAAAACAAAATATACTAATACAGATTTCTATCATGTATTTCAATGAATAAAATATTGTGTTCACACATAAGTCCTGCACGTTTTTTTTTTGTTTTTTTAGACAAATACAAAGCTTAATATCTCGTGACTGGAAAGAGATTCTTAAGCTTTACATTTGTATAAAAAACAAAAAGACGTGTAGAACTTATATTCCTATGTAATAGAGCTAGACTATACAAAAAAAATCAATAAAAGCGTTAAAAAGTTTACCTCAATTGAATATCACTAAAATACGAGAAAAAGTTCCAAAAGAAAAAAGCTCAGTTAAAATGAAAAGAGAATATTTGAACTAAAAAAACCGCATTTAAATCAAAGAAAGTCACCGTCAAGAAAAACTAAAGGTGAAACAAAAAAAATGGAATATAAAACAATTTTATACATGTCACTCTTGGTTTATTTAGATGAACTAAAAAAGATTAGAAAACATATTCAAAAAGAAACTTTCTTAAATTTTGTAAAATATTGTCTACTGTTTGAAATAATAAATTGAAAGATTTCTTGTAAAAACATATTCATTAATATACACCCGAATCGTTAGCAAGAGAAAAACATTTGCAATCGTGTCGGACACCGAAGCATGCTTAGAGGAGTATAATTAAGATTTCATTATACATATTCGTACGATCTAATCAACTCAGCAAACCCGTATCTTCTGGTGCTGGTATGAATATTGCTCAAATAGAATACATACAAATTGCCATGTTATCACTAAGCTTCTCTTATAAATATGAACTATGAACATCTCTTTAGCAGTGACAAAAGAAGCAACTTCTCGTTCAAAGTATGATAGTAATATTCAATTTTCTGCGGCAAAAAAAAAATTTTGGGCTATTCTATAGTATGGTCCACCTGTCGCTCCTATGGCATCAAATGTGTTACGTGTAGCAAAGTTAGGTAACTGAGGGAGGATGCAAGGCTAATCGAACTGTTGATAAGTTTAGTTGTTCCTAACTCTTTCATTCAGAGTTGATCCCAACTGATCTAGTCTATTAGAATGATGTTGATCTCACCACTGAAACATATCGAACCTCAAAGATAGACCTAGGTAAAAAAATAAAACTCGTTAGTTCGAATGCAAAGAAAAGTATGTGGTTTTTGTTAGAATATAATACTGATTCTAATTCGATATAAAGTTTTCGTGTCTGTTTTAAGGCCAGGAATATTGTTTACGATCTCTGATTTTTTTGAATAAAACAGTGCTGAGAAGTATTGATCTTCATGATTTCAGGATTCTACAGAATATTAGAGATATAGCAATTTTTTCTTCGATTGGATCGATTAGTGGAAGAGACGAACAAATTGGAATTCTGAGCAAAATGTTGTTGTGTTGAACTATAAGTTCTGCTAATCATCTTGTAGCCTGTCAAAAATAATCATCAATACAAGTAAATGGTTTTTCTCGACAAATTAGCCGCAATAGCTTCGTAAATATGCTCTTAAATCATGCGTCAGTTTTCGTCAAATGTAAAGAGTAAGATGAGTATTTTACTCCTATTGATAAAATATTCTCAAGATCATGAGACTTAATAATAGAGAAAGTTTCAAATAAAAAACTCTTATGTTAAGTTTTTCTATCAACAATGCATTCTATGGTAAGCATTCACACAGTCGTAGATTTGCTGAGAAGGCCAATAGAATAAAATCTTTTCAGAATTAATTTGGTTTCAAAGTCTTCTCTTTATGTCTAAAATACGAGCTGAAAAATAATAAATTACTTCCAACAGTTTCCAAATAAGATCTGCGGACATTGTTCACATAATCTATAGAGTAACTTTTCGCTTTCTTATTGCTCTTCAGTTCTATGTAATTTTTTATTCATCGAAAATAATACAAGAGAAGAAAGAAAAAAAAAAACAAACAAACAGAAAACATGGGCAATGTAGCAGAAATTCGATCACTGCTCATAATCAAATATTATTTGTCGAATGTATATGTATATAAATGTGGGTGTCTTCTTTTTTCTTCCGTTTTTAAACGTACAACAACCAACAACAAAAAAAAAAAAGGATGACAAAACAACAGGAAATAGTTATGATAATAGTAAATGAACGAACAAATGTCTTGAATAAAAAAAAAAAAAAAAAAAAAAAGAAAGAAGAAAACAAATAAACACATATGTTGTTTGCCGATGGGTACAAAGAAGAATACCAAAAAGAAATAGGATAAGTGTCAAGATGATGGTGTTTTTTTTTTTATTTTCTATTCGAATCCAAAAATGCAAGAGAAAGAGACAAATATATATATATATATGTGTGTGTATAAGAAAAACAAAAATAACAGCTATTGCGTCAATGCAGTAATCGTGCTATTTGTTGATGGAATATCGCCAGATGAAGAATTTGATGGTGTTGGTTCATCATCATCATTTTCATCTTTTTCATCATCATGATCATTATTTGTTAACGTCTATAAATAAGAAAAGCGCATAGAAATCAATATTAAGCATAAAGAAATAAGACAGAATATTTTCAATGCAAATAGTGCTATTAAAAAACAAATTAATTGCACAAAAAGAATTGTCTTAACAAAGAATGATTTGATCGAATGTTAAGATATGTATGTGTTAGATTTATCATATTTTTTAAGGTTTTCTTAATATAGACAGCATTCTATAGTTCAGAAGTAAGTGCGTAAATGAACTTTTTTTTTTTTTTTTACACAGGAAATTTCATACATATGAATATTTACTTGAAAGCAATTTAATTATTTATTTAAGTTATTTTTTTTTGTAGAATAAAATTTCTTAAAGCTCTTAGTTATCATCATATTTCGTTAATTCTTTTTGATAGCATTAAGTCAAAGAGTTGAAAGCAACCCACGAAAGAAATATTCTCATAGGTTTTTGAACAAAAATTATAATTTTGTTAGATTTTCATATTTATATGAAAAATAATTGTTTTATGTCAGTAAGATATTCAAGAAGAAAAAGAAAATATAGTGAGAAACAAAAATAGAATTAGTGATATTGGTGAACATATTGGCAAAAAGAAAACAAAAGAAAAGAACAAAAAAACGTAAGAAACAGAATGATTGTTGTGTAAAGAGAATAATAATATGTGATTTTTGATGCATACAGAGCAATAGCCAATAGATGGAATATATTAAATAACTATGAGAAGAAAGTGGGATAAAAATACCGCGTTGATGTTGTTGTATTTCGCTGAAAGATATATATGTTTTGTTTAATTTTTACAATTATTTTATTTTGTTTTTATTTTTTTTTGTAATTGTATTATTAAATAGAAGAAATAATATTCTTTTCAATTACCCCGCTGTTTGAATTTGTTGTATTATTTGTTCCTTTTGTCATTGAATCATATGTAGTTTCAAAAACAGAACGTCTATTTAAAAAAAAAATAAAGTAAATTATTTTTGTAGATTTATAAAGGATATAGAATAAACTTTGACCTTCTCATGCAATTCTAAGTCGATTAAAAAATGGTAGGAACTTGGAAGGAGAAATTCAATGACTGAATACAATCACAAAATTTCTGCTCCAAACTTCCTATCATTTTTCCGATCGGAAATCTAGAAGTCCGGAAGCCGGAATCATTAACATAGGATATGGTTTTCTCACATATTTCTGTGTTTACTGAAGCTGATATTTACAGTGTACACACTAGACGTCTAGACTTAGTCTATGCAAAAATTTGAATTTTTTTTGTATTATTGTTACAGAAATATCAGTGATATCAAAATCAACATGAATGAAAAAAAATTGTAGTCATTCAATCCTTCGCTGTGTGATTTACTTACATCATGATAAATGGAGAAAAAAAAATGATACGATTGTAACGTGCAATAAAAATATTAATAAATCATTTTTTATGATGGGTTTAAAAGAATAAGTTAAACTTCCAACAGAGTAGTTCTAGACGTCTAGTGGCTCAAAATCCTTTTATCAGATTATTCTTACTTTGCAATAAAACCACCACCAACTGGAAGTGCTTCACGAATCGATGATTGTTCATTAAGGGATGTCATAACTTGTTGCCAAACTGTACTAGCATCTAAACTTGTTTTATTTGGATTACGATTGTAGATTTCTAGTAAAGAAAAAAACAAAAATCAAGATCCATTACTAAAGAGATTCGATCGTATTGAGAAAATAAAACAAAGTTAAGTTAAATTTCTAGCGCCTTCAAGTATATATATATATATGAGAAGTAAGATATTTTCTCTCTAACTTTTTTATTTATTATTACTTTTTTATATGATGGTGATAAACTTTATTGTTTGCTGAGTTTTGTATTTCTACATATCTTTGAATAATCTAAAGATATTCTAGAGTATCTCATGTTATTTTTAGATAGAAATAATATTCCTCGACTAATTTATGCATTTTTTTTTCAAAGACTTCATATTTTGGTTGAAAGAAAAATTTTTCATATGTCCTAGGTCAATTATTCTATGACAGTAAACTGAATTTTAAAAATCTATAGATTTCATATTCTTTAAGGAGGTCTTCCTATACTAAAATTTAGTCCAAGAATTATATATCCATATTGTCTACTTGCATAATCTATATCAGTTGTTTAGTTATGACATGACTTTAAAAAGTTTGAGAAAACAAATTCTACATATTTTTCAAATATACGAAACCGTAGACAAGATTCAAGAAGTAAATTTTCCGTAGATGAAAAGAAATCAGAATCACAATATTATTAATAATTTATTCTGTAAACTCCTTTTTTTTGCATCGGAATCTTTTTTCTTTTGTAAAACGGTTTGTGTATGATCGTGAAATTCTTTATACTATTTATTTAAGAAATGACAATAAAAAAAAAAACTCTAACATACGGCAGCTATATATAACCTATGTTATCTTACATTATCATGTCTCAGTAAAGTATTAATAAATAAAGTCGCATAAGATCTTTCTGCATGTCGACCAATTAAATCTCAGATTGTTGACCATGAAACTATAAATATTATTTCAAATAGTACTATTAAAAATATGCAGAATTATTGTTTTCTCAAACTTTTATAAGTCATATTATAGCTAGAATATAAAAAAAGAGCCTCATTAAAAAAATGTGAAATTCAAAGTTCTTTCATAATGTGCAGAACATAAGATGAAGAGAAGGAGACATTCCTCTTCAACAGATTCCTCATGCATAAAATAGATACTTCAGAATGTTATGTGCAAATATTCAGTTCAATATCTGAATACTAGTTTTCAAAACCTATGTCTAATGTTGTTGAATAGTCAATGAAGACAATTATTCAGGTCAATGATCACAGCAGTGAGATCTATAGGTTTCCGGCGACTACCTGTCGGAACAATATCATTTCCTGTTTTAAATGTCAGAAAAATGATAGTTACTTAAAAGCAAAAATTCAATGATCGGATTTGTGCTTTCATGTTCTTATCATTTCTCGTACTTTCGCACCGGAATCAACATGTATTTATTGACCTGTTAATTGTACTCTGTTATGAGTCAAGAAGATAAATGAAAGTCTTGTCTAATGTCAATAAAATAATATAATAAATATTTCTATCTATATGAAATCAAAATTTTTTTTTATTTTGAAATGAATACGAACAAATTATCATATTAAAGAATATGATAATTAATAACTAAATCTATTTTAATTATTTTCATACCAATAGTCTTTTTACGAATTTCATTATCAAGTGCTTCATCTTTTGCTTTATATTCTGGACTTGGTGTTGGTGCATTTTTAAATGCAATAATTGCCAAACTCATATTATCTTTGCTACCCTATAAATAAGTTAATTAATTTAAATTAAAAAAATAAAATAAACAAACTTTATATAAACACATATCAAGTATTGAATTAGCAATTTCACATAGATCATCTGTTACACGCATACGACCAAGTATATAAGCAGCTAATTCTTCATTTGTAATTACATCCCATATACCATCACAAGCAAGTACAATAAAAGCAATCTGTTCATCTTGTTTAGTTTGACGTGTATAATAAGTAATTTCAGGTTCTGGTGAAACTAATTGTTGATCTGGTCGACGATTTGAATTATTTTTATATTCAAAATCACCAAGAGCACGTGATACAGCTAATGAACCATTTACTCTTTGTATAAGTACAGTACCACCGGCTTCTTGAATTCGTTGACGTTCAGCTTGATCACCTATTATTTAAAGAATAGATAAATGAATAAAACAAAAAAAAGAGAGCTAGATTCTATTATTCTACTTGGTTTATGATCTTTTGTTGCAAGAAGAATTCGACCATCAGTCGATACAAGAATAGCTCGTGAATCACCAACATTAAGAAAATAAATACGTTCAAGATCAATTAAACAAGATATAGCTGTTGAACCACTTTTATCATCTAACAAAAAAATATAGAAGAATAATATTTAGTTAAGTTTAATTTTTTAATTTAATTTAAAAAAAAAAGAAAAAACAAAATAAAACCTGGATTATTACTACGATTTTCTTCTCTCCATTCATTATCAAATTTAAAATATGCATCTTTTATAGCCATTTCAAATTTATTAAAATCAAGTTGTGATGATGATAGATGTTGTGATGATTTTAAATTTCCATTTTCTTGTACTAAACCATTAAGACATGAAAGTATACGTAAATGAAGTTTTTCAGCTGATTTAGCTGCTGTACGATATCCTGCATGACCATCAAATATACCAAAATATGACCAATGTGACCAACGATTATCATCTAATTTAAGGACTGCTGCATGTGCGTCTTCCATATCCACACTAAATATATTCAAATTATTGATAAATAATGAGAAGAAGAAAAAAAAACCATATCGTTAAAAAAGAATTTACCGCCATCCTTGCATAGAACCAAGACCATAACGAAGATCATCATTTTTACCATTAACATTGTGTTTTTCAGTTTTAGGTTTTTCCAGAAATTGACCCATCGATCTATATGAAATACAAAACTGAATTCTCTGATATGAATCATATAAAATAATATGAGTAACAATATTCTTTTTTTCAGACAAGAATTACCAATCGAAAAAAGAGCTAAGGCATAATGATGAGTGGGAAAAATCAAATGACTAATACCAATAAAGTTATATGTCAATAGTCATATCTATTCTCTTGTTCTTTTTTTATTTCAATATTATTCAATTGACCTACCGAAAGTTTGAAAAAGATGAATGAAAAGAATCTTTCATAATTGTCGAAGAAATAAAATTAGGAAGATGAAATATCTGTCGAAGTCGTGACCAACTTTCTCTTGCAGATAATGTTGTATTCGATACACAATTTGATCGATTACGTGTTACAAATGTTGTATCTGTTTTTCGAAATAATGTTTCAAACCACAATGACGATGATGATGATGTTTCATTATTTTCGGACGATGATGATTCCGACATATCTTTTTTTTTTTTAAATTTCTATCTGTTTGTATCACGAGTAGTTGTAACTCACGTGCCTTTTAGGAATTTTTGTTTTTATTCTCTCAATCCCATATATATATATATATAAAGAAAAGAACTTTTGCTATTTACTATGATTACATTCTTTTCTTTTTTTTGAAAATAACTAGTACAAAGAAGATAAAGGCAAAAATACGAAAAGAGAGAAAAACAAGAGAAGAAATGACTCTAATATTATATGAAAAAAAAAATAAAAATACACACCTGTATGTTTACTTTGACAAGACACACACACGCATACACTCACAAATATTAGTTAAAAATTTCTTGATTTAATCGTAATCAATTAATATTCTATAACAAAACAAAAAGAAATAATAAATTTTTTTTAAAAATAAACAAACAAATTATCTTACATATCAGAAGAAAACATTCGTTTGAGATGAAAACCAAAAAAAGCATAATTTAATTCTAAAATTAAACAAAAAGAAAACTAAAATTATTATATAAAATAACTCGTACAAAAAAAATTTCATTTAGTTTGGAAAAACAAACAAGAAAAAATCCAATCTCCGACTTACATATTATTTATATTAAAATGTTCATCGAATCGAAGAAACATAATCAATATTTCTTCAATAATTAAATTCGTTACATAAATATTAAAACGCGCGATATTACAAAAAAAAACAACAACAACAAAATTTCCTTCATGATAGCACATCCGGGATTAAAGTTACTTGATATATAAAATTTTTCTGATCAAAAATACCATTCTATATTATCATATGAAATCGTTTTTTATATAGAGAAAATTAATATTAGTTACACTTTTAATTTAAAATCAAGAGAATTTTATTGTTCAATTGAATAGAGAATTATCTATTTAAACACATGAATTTATTTATCAGATCATATAATAACTTTTTTGTAATAACGGATTTTGGTAGCGGAAGAGGTCACAGCGGGTGATCATTCTATCCTTTCGAATTATTTTATTTAGCAGAAAACGTTAAAAAGTGCACTGATAAGATCTCTAATGCATTTCAACATAGTGAAATATGAAGTCAAACTGTTTGAACTCCAAAAAAATTTTCTTCTTATAAATTAACGACAGTTTTTATATTCAAAGATATTATGTAATTTAAGATTAATATACTATCACGGGTCATATCTGAGTGTGAGTGAATAAATAGATACGTTACATAAGATAAAAAGAAAAAGATTTTCAAAGTTTTTATAACTTAATAGAGTATGAAGTTTTGTGCTGATGTCTACTTTAAAATATGTTTTATAACTATGAACAATCTTCTCTTACCTAAACTTTTAAATTTATCTTTGATCTCTTGTATATTTATTTATTTATTTATATTAAATATATTTGTATTCTTAACAAGATGTATGTGTTTTTTTTTCTTCATTTGATGTCATATAGTATTGAATAAAAATTCAAGTAAATAAATAATAGAAGCCATTATTTAAGTAAAAAATCGAAACCCTACTAAAGTATTTATCATCAAAGGAAAACAAATATTTAATCAGATTATCCATAGTTTTTTAACATCAATTCTAGTAGAAATTTATTCTAGAAATCTTTTCAGATTTTGCTCCTAAAATATGTGTAACAAGAAAAGAAAAAAACGAAACTATGTTTACTAAATTATATATAATTTCTAATGGTTTGACAAATTTTTAACTGTAAACATTTGTTTAATCGTATCGAAAGAAGAATAAACTGAGAGAATATTCTAAAGAAGAACAAGCTGATTATTACATTATAAAAATAAAATTATTTATAATAATAAGAAAAAAACAATAACCGTATGAATTATCTATCAAAGAATGAGAAAAAAAAAATAACAAAAAAAAAAAAAACGAAAAAGAAAAATTTTATTCTAACCAGTGAAGCGTAAAATCTTTGTGAGCACACATGAAAAGGAATGATGATGACGCGGTGTGTTCAAAAATGATCTCTTTTCTCTTTTTTTTTTTTTCTTTTTGTTTTTTCTCTGTCTTTTCTCTATTTGATCATCGTTATCACCATTGACGATGCATATATGTTCTCTACTTTGACGAGTAGATTTTTTTATTGGATAATATTCAGATCCATTCAATTAAATAATAGATGTCGATCTGAAAATTGCAATCAGATTTGACTTTTGTTTTCGTTTGCTTATTGATTGGATTTTTCGATTCCTTCCTTGGAATATATTTATGATGAGAAAGTTTGAAGTACGAGGGCTAAATAAATAATCGACAACTAACAAAAAAGAAAATATTTAAAGAAGAAACGAAAAGAGAAAAATCCAGGTGATAAGAATGAAGATGAATTTTTGTTTTGCTTTATGTAGATTTATGATTTAATTTGAATATTTTGAACAAACCCTTGATAAATATCCGTATATATTCGATTGATATTAATTCATGTATACACTATTGATTTGGTAAGAAAGAAATGAAAGTTTTGATTTAGTTTCTTTTCTTTCTTTTTTTTTTATATTCTTTATGAATAAAAAATGATGCCGAAAATAACAAAAATAGTTATTCGTTTTTGTTTTTTAGTTGTATATTCATGTAAAAAGAAAAATAGGTTATATATGTATATACTGTTTCAGACATTAATCAATGAGTCGTTTGAAAGTTGTCTTATTGACTGAATCTAATTCTCTCACTGGAAATGATGCTTTACCATATAAATATTATGGACAAAAATTATGGGAAAAGATTCAATCTATTGTTGAAGAACTTCATCATCGATGTGAATCAGTTGATTTACATAAACTTGATTTTCAAGAACATGAATCAGTTAATAAATTTCTCAATGCTGATATTGTTATTATGGTATTTTATAAATTTTTAATTCTTTTCTTTATTTGTATAAAAATTATTTTCTAGGATGTTACAAATCCAGATCGACGTCCAACATTTATGTATCATAAAGGTAATCGAGAAAGTATGGATTGTATGGATGATATTGTATTAATACAAGCAAGTGGTGTAGAAAATGATAATGCTATTCAAGATCTCAAAGTAGATATTCTTAATCAAGAAATTTTATTTGGAAAAATTTCTTTTTTTGTTTTCAGACGACATGTAAAATAAAATTATTAATTGTTTATCGATATGATGAAAGTAAAGATGTTTTTTATGATATAACACAATCATCATCTCCTCCCCCATTACTTAACACAACTCTTAAGTGCTTCTTAGAGCGAGCTGCTGATAATATTCAGTATGAAGACTTTGAATGAATAAACACAATTATATATATTTATTTGTCTTTTTATTTTTTTAATATAGAAAAGGACTTGCTGATCGATATATATCTCGTATGAATACACGTAAAGTTGAATTACAAGATAGTAAAGCTTATCATGATGTATATTTTTAAGTTATTTTATTTACATTTGATTGAAATAATTTTTGTTTTAAAGTTTTTATGGAATGAAGTATGTGATGAAATGTTAAATGAAACAAATCAAGAATATGTAACACCTAAATTAATTACAAAATTAATGTATGCTTTTCGAGATATTCAAGTAAGATTTTCTTAAACTAATTTTTGATGTTTTTTTTTGTTTTATTTATAAAACAAAAGAATTCTTATTAAAATTTTGTTAGGATTATGAATCAATGATAAAATTAAATCAACGTTGTGAACAATTATTAGAAATAGCAAAAAAAATTCGAAATAATATGATGATTTCATATTTAACTGCATTTGCACGTAGTCGGTAAATATTAATATTATTTTTTTTATTGATTTATTAAAAATAATTTAAATTATTTCATAGACGAAATGAACCTGGTGATCGTGATGAAGCATTAAGTATTCTTGAACATTTATGTCATACAAAAAAAACTGAAAGTGAATTATCAAATGATGTTATTTGTTTATGTGGAAGAATTTATAAAGATAAATATACTGAATCATTTTGTCAAGATCAAGAATCTTTAGACAAAGCTATTGAATGGTATAGAAGAGGTTTTGCTGCTGATCCAAATATTTAGTAAGATAAATTAGAAAAAAAACAAAATTTTTTTTTAAATTAAATTATGAAAATTTTTTAGTGCTGGTATTAATTTACTTTTTCTATTAGCAATTAAAACTGAAGATTTAAAAAGAAATAATGAAGCATATAAAATTAGTAAGTTATTTTGATTTATTGACAAAAATACTATATATGAAACAGTACATAAGATCATGAAATAGTCTTTTAAGTTCATTGTTGAAAATTGTTTTTGAGTTAGAAACATTCGAATTACATGAAATTTTCAGAGCGTGTTGAAGCATCAAAAGTAACTGATTTGGTAACACTAAGTTCACTGTAGAATTATCATTGTATAACTTTAGTTTTTTTTTTTTTTTATAAGAAAAAAAACAGATACTGCAGCTTCGTATGTTCTTTTCAACAGATCGAGAATTCTATGATGCACAATGAAAAAGTGTAAATAGAAATTATCGAAAATTTTGACAAAAAAACATGTCCTTTATGAAAAAATCAGATCTTGAATTATGACTGACTTTTGGACGTTAATGTATGTCTAATTAACTGATGAAAAATCTAATATATTCGTTAATTCTTTGTCTCAAAAACAATAAACTCGACATGTCATTCATCTTAAGATAAGACGTTATCAATAATAATATTTATCTAATGCATAAATTTAAACGTTATCTAAGATTTGTCTGAAGTGGAAACTTTAATTTTCTATATATTATTTTGCATACTTATACATAAAAAAAAGAACAAATTCAAAAGAATTATATTGTTTTCACAAGTAGATTACTTTACATTATGACTTATATAATAAAAGATAATCATTTGAAATAATAATATTGATATTTTTTTCTTTTAGTTATTCAACTCAATGCATTACTTGGTAAAAAAGGTCGTTCACTTCGAGATTTAACAGATTATTGGGATGTAGCAACATATTTTGAACTTCATGCTGTTCAACGTGATTGGTCAAAAGCATGTTTAGCTGCATTACAT